CATAAACTGATCCACATTTGTACACTGTATCTCAACAACGAAAGTACACTTCTGTGATTGTGTTTTACATACACCATGGTATGACAAGTAAATGTGAGTGATACCACAGAGTTTAAAGGTATGACCTTTAGGAGTAATTTAAGGCTGTTGTTTGGTTCATCAATACAGTCGCAATGTTTCACTTTAGTAAGGCTTCTGGTAGTTTAGAACGCTTCACTGTTAGGACAGCTTCTAAAAATTACTAAATGCAACCTTGTTATCCACCTCGTTAATCCCCATCGTGGTCGTATTCGGTGTCCGTTTTTGAAACGAATTTCCAAAAATATACCACCCTGGTTTCACAGAGGAGAACGTAAAGCATCTAACAACTTTATCTTAGGACATTTGACAGATTGTGGCCACCCGATAAATGCAGAAAACAACTTCAGTGTCATTTATAGACTTCATGCAAGCCTAGCAAAAGTGTATGCCTGAAACTTATTCAAACTGCGGAAGTCATAGCAATTAATATTTTGAAGCCTGAACTCTACGTTCAAAAAAAAATTTGTCCAGTCACTTGAATTGCAATGAACATGACCTATAAGAACATTTTGCCCTCAAAATCTTTTCTTTCACATCTCACACATTACATTCTACCACCCCTTAGAACTTTGACTTCTCATTACATTCACCAATCCTTTTAGCCGCATTACATCATTTAATTCAGTAACCAAATATTGGTTCGTTCTTGATAAGTCTTAGTCTCATTATCTCATCTTACTTCACTAATTACATGATTCTTTTTCCCATCTCCTGATTTATAGTGAAAACTGAATTTCATTCAAAACCACTTTATGAAACATTCCTTTTCTATTACCATGTGAATAAAATATTTATATGAGATTGTGTAGCTTGAGAATGATATCGTCGAAGAGAGTGACTCTTCGTCAAACGTCTTTATTGGTATCTTGCATTTATCTATTTAAAACAGAATTTGTACAATAAGACCAGCAAGAGATGCGCAAAAACCAAGTCATATAACAACATTAGGAAGACACAAAAACATTATAGGATGAAAAGGAAACATATACAGAAGCAAAAATAGAAGCGGACTATTAAACAAGCAGTTTCAAAGATACAGTAACTATTTTCCTTTTATTTTCCAATGATAAAAAAAGCGAAAACCTGCAATATGATCGCCACTGAGTTGCATAATCTCTTAGATTCCATCCAGGAAGCTGTGAGGCACCAAAAGATGCTAATCCAATACAACAATCTTTCATTCCACGGTGCTGCGTCACATACCGACCAATGCCCTATCTCTTACAACCAGTCCAGTGCAAATGAGCAGTAAGCAGCATGATAGCCTCTGAAAAGACATTCATCATATACATTCACACCACCAAAGCTAATTTTTTAAGATGATCCCCATCATGCCCGAATGGACACCGTCTCACCTAAGAAATACTTATATAGTTCCAAAGCGGTAGTGACTAAATATGCAGAATCATCGAGGATTTTCATCTCAGAGAGATGATGTTTTATGGGTGAAGAGTAGGAGTACTTACACCAAAGTGTTGCATACACCTCTTAAAGACATATCACAACAGTGCCGAAGTTTATCCAAGCTGGTGTATGCCTCTTTGACTTTCGATACATGGTTGGAAATTTTATCAGTTACACTCCCAACAGCAACAACACAACTAATCAGGTATACAAATTTCTTGACAACTCCCGACGGTTCATCGCTGCACTGACAAGATAGACTGGTGTCTTTTAAGTGTTATCAGCAATTGTTAATATTTTCCAGCAAATCGTCAGCTAACTTCGAAAATAGCTTGTTTTCATACTTAGATGACTTCCGGAATACATACCCAATTTCCTCATGTTGGTTTATTTGGGGAGATGACGTCGCTAATCGCAGTGACATAAGTTTTGTTTATCATATGCTAACTTATATTCGAAATTATGGTAGATACTTAGGACTGTACAGCTTCAAGTCATCGGTAACCTATTCGGAAGTTCCCAAGTTGGCATAAAAAGTTACTGATTTCCTTTTAAATTTGAAATTGCCGTTTTCGTGCCTTGTTTATGGGGTCGGCCTTAAGGGCCACCCTAACAACCGAAGAAATAATCAATTACGCTTCTCTATTTTACGAGAAATTACCTTTCCAGTCAAAATACAGCAACCAGATTGGTTATTTCAGCGGTTGCTAGGATGGGCTTTAAAGTCACTTTTTTACACCATGCCAGTAATTCACTTTTCCCTCTTTTCCCAAGGTAAATTCTTGACTGGTTGACGCTTGATTTTAACATGTTAATGTACAAGATTATGTATATATACACACGTGTTTCAGGTTATTATCAGTCTTCTCTGCAGCAAAAACAGCGTTCTCATTCGGATCAGTCCTCTCCTATTTTGTATTTCACTTAGGGCGTTGGAGTTGTCACTTATCTAGTATGCGAGTTAGCTGTTAGTTAGGACAACGTCCACTATTCAAATAATTAGGACCATAAAATAGTTGACTAAAAACGTGATTTATTACAGGCTACTCAGAAGAAATCAAAACAGGTTAACAGAATGATTTTGAAAAATCTTCCTTGTGTTTAGGTGATTAATCTGAGCATACACAACAGCAGCAACAGTCATTATCTCTGTGTGTTTACCTAGGGCAACTTGAACAAACTAGTTATATGACAATAACCAAATGCTGATTAAAGTCTATTGATTTGAAGGCGACACAGTTTATTGTGTCCCTACTTTGTAAAAACATAAGTGTGAATAATGGAACAACATTGTTTTCCTTGCCGGTACCTAATAATGTGATTCAACCCAACAGAAAAACAGCATCAAACCAGTTGTTGGTGGAATACCAGTCACAAAGTGTAGATTCAGCTCTAGCATTCAGCGTTATATCTAGACTCTAACAGTCTTTAGATAAATGAGAAAGAAACATTTCCTCACGGACAACTGCAACTTCAATCCTCTTAAAAAGTACACTCAACTTATGGGATAAGAAAAATGCTAAATTCGGCAAAGGAATTAAGATTAAGATAATGTGTGAATATTTCTGCGCCGTATCACTTAGTCTTCAACCACTGGTTTCTGTTGCCACGTGGACTCCATCTCTCTACATGGCTCAAGCCAACAATCAAACACTTGATGTAGTGATGCCATGTCCACCTCGAGTCTCTTTCCAGTCTAAACCTACTTCAGCTAACATTGCAGGACGAGGTAGAATGTGACCAGGCATGCGTAACGCGACTATTCGTAGACAATGAATAAGTTAGTTCAAAAAATACAGAAAAGTGTGGAAAACTAATTCTTCTAGTGAGCAGGAGAAAGGTAACTGAAAAAAGACTAACAATTTCCGCCATGAGGATGTGAAAACGAAGCATATAATAGATTGGATAAAGAATAAAAAAATCTAAAGTTTCCTTCTAAGTAGAAATAAAACGTGATCGTTGTATAGATCCAGAAGACTCGATGTCTGTGAAGACAACGTAGTTGCATAGATAAAATCGATGTTGAGGTAAGTATGGGAATCCCTCAAGAAACTGACAAACACGACATTGCTTACACGGTGGCAAAAGAGTATTTCTGTAACCTTTTTCGTCAATACAATGAGTCAGAATAAAGTGCACCAACGAATGTACCCAGAGTAGAAGTGGAGTTCGGTGGTTCAAACATTCAAATTTCGACACGTTAGTTAAATTTTCAGACCCGCTCAATTTATGAAGCTTCGAACAGTAAGGTAGTATGTCATTAAGTTTAACGTAATGGTTATGACTCATAGTCAAGTACACATATCCGTAAGCAATTGCTGATTAACCACTTATATCATTTCTAAAGTAGATTAACATATACTGGCTTAAGCAAACCATTTGATAACAAATGGTCACGCGGAAGCTGGACAAAACCGTAAGGTGAATTTTTCACTTATTTATTGTGATTATTATTATTATTATCACTAATTATTACTGAAGGGGTGTAAGATTTTTTGACGCTTGGGTTGATTGTGTGCACTTCAGAGCGACTTTAGCTTCTAGATTGAAATTGTGTTTTGTTGACGATTAGCTAATCGTTGATATTCACCAGCGATACCACTGAGTATTAACTAAATTAGAGTGCTTTTAATAACAATTCACAAACTAAGATAACTGGAGATCACAGACAAGAATAATTGCTTCAAACAACTACCAAGTTACTAACTTCAATTTAAAGCACTCAGATTAGTAGCTTCCAATACTATCTATTAATCAAAATTGTGTTCGTCACTGGCACACATTGAAAAGGACATTTCTAGCTAGGCAACTTGATTGCATTCATTAGATGTGTGGTAATGGTGTTTCTGGGTTAAGCTCAATTTAAGATATTGATAAAACTAGGTAGACTCAATTTTTGAAGCAGAAAGTGGAATATTCGTGAGTGAACCTTCCCGAAAAAATTAAATATCATAAAGGTATCTAGACTATAGTTGCATTCCGCAACGTAAAAATAATCAACAATTGAGGGCATAGCGTCATAAGTAGGAGTATTGAGCAATGCAGTTTCAAAAATAGTCAGCATTTCAATCAACTCCAACTGTTATTCCAAGAGTAGCCTCCTTTATCAACCTCAACCCTAACTGATTTGATAGAGATACGATAGTACACTTTTTACAAACACAGACTATAGTAAACCATGAAAATAACAAAAGTGGAAATCGACATCTGATGCAGTACGAAGCTAATTCACTTTACGTGATTAGTATAAAGTGGAGGGGTAACAACATCTGAAATATAAGAGTGACGGAAGAACACAAACAGACAAAATAAAACTGATTTGAAAGAAGTTTTATCTACTGAGGGATAAAATAAAGTGGAAAATACTTTTTTGATATCACTTAAAATATTCTATGTACAATAAAGATGAGCTGAAGCATTGGAGTAAAGATTACCCTGTAAGCAGAAATGGGTGCACCTTTTATAGCAAAAAATAAAATGTTAAGGTAGGGGCGGAGGCATAAAAGGAGACTTACTCGGTCTTCAATTTCATCACCAAATGTGTTTAAGAGATTCTGGAATTGTGCAGCCATTACGTTGACACGTGTTTTCAAATCTGGTAAACAGTCTCTTATATGGTGCATCAAAAGCTGTATAAGTGCAAACGTAGAACAAGAAAAAAGTAAATCACAATTATATGAAGTCTTAATAAAATACCACAGCATAAAAGTACACTTATTTCTAGCAAGTATCAACTAAGTGATGGAAAGAAATGAAGAAGTTAGCACTTAAATTGAAACACATTCAGTTTTACGCTTCTGAAACTGATTAGATTTTTAGCAGGCTGCCTTGATTTTTATTCTTACGAAAAGTTGCACCATTGTTAGTTCCAGTATTCTCTTATTAGTTAGTCTGAAGTAATTTTGACGTTTTGCAACAGCTTATTGGAAAATATGATTAATTCAAGAACATGGTTCATAACTACTATTTTGATTTATCCGTCATCGATGAGGCATACACTGCAGGACTACTCGTCGCAAATGAAGGAATCATAAGACCACGAAAAGCAAGATATATATGTCAGATGAAGAGGTTGAGTCAAGTAAACCTTTGCTTAAAAAGTATTGTTGACAAAGACAGATGTCTGGAGAAGTTAGTCAGTCATCCGGTCAGTATCAGTATGGGAACCCGTCTTACTACGCAACGATCGAAGTTGTCACATCTCACCACGCAATCCAGGGCACCAAGACAAAAATTAGAGAGACAGGAAAAAAGTGAAACCGAAAATAGTAGAAACCCATATGTATTGTATCATAGAAAACGTGAGATGAAGATTGATATGACTACTTTTGGATGTATCTCAGCCATATCACTTAGAGTCTCCAACTACCGATTTCGATGGTCGAACGGAACCCAACCGAGACTTCCTAGACTGATGCCATATTTTATTCTCATCACTTATAACCTATTTTTAGATTAAATCTACGAAGGTAATAGCTGTTGAAAACCTGAAGCCTTCTAATGTTCTACACCTTGAATGCACATGCTTCGCACTGAAAGCGTAGCTTCGGAGAAGAGTTTAGTAGAGTTAAACATAGAACAGAGACAGCATAGAAATCTCAAGGACTTTCAAGATAATGCACTTACAGAATAGTGTTAATTTACTCAGGTTTGTGGATGCAATTGCTATTAAAAGGAATAAACTAGAATTGTGCATTCAAAACAATTAGTTGTTAGCCTTTAACTTCTGTGGTAGCTACTGATTCCGTTTGTCACGTAAACTCTCATCCCTCCCCCGCTTCATTTTCTGCAATGTGGCGAAGTCGGTTGAGTAGCTAATCTTAATCTTATTATCAGTTTTACTGCCTTAACCTAACTCAATTCTTTTCTTCATGCTCTTTACTCGTCACACATACTTATTTAGTCTATTCTATAATTTGTCAGATGTACAACATCAGTAGCTTGCTTGCTTAAACACTGAATATCTTTAGTTCTCATTAACAATTGCTTTGATTCGGATTTCTAAGCCTGTCGAGATTTCACTCACAATTATTTCTGCATCAGCCCACTATTTCGCTTTCAGTTAGTAAGTTATGCAAATGATTTTATGCATATATGTTATGTAACCTTTTGGTGTGTATATATATGAAGAAGAGGTGTTGAAGTATTATGCACTAACCACATTTTTAAAATCTTGTCATTGCTACTTTAACAAAATTCGCGAGATGAACCACTTTTATGAGAATCGGGTGAACTAGGAACAACACTGTGCTAATGAGTATTACATTCAGTTAAACGAACTCTTGATCATATTGACCATAAAGGTCCCAAAATGAAAATTGAAGTAATCTGGAGGCATCCGTTCGAGGGGCCAATAAGCCAACAGAGACTGATCACTTCGGTCCAGTATAGTGATCAAAGGAAAATCACATGTTTCAATAAATAAAAAGTGATACCTGTTACACGAGAGGTAACACTCGTAACTCAGTAACCCGGAGGAAAACGCTTTGGAATTGGTGTTGGGTTCTAGTCTCAGTAGGAACACCATCAATCACTACAATGCAGGTACATCCAGCTAATGAGTCCCAAAAAAGGCGAAACGCACGTACCGAATTTCACAGCCAATCACCACCAAGCAAACAGAATAAGCCTCTTTTTGATTGCAAGGTCAGTTAAAAACGTCTAATAGTGACAAAATGTTACTTCTATACACCGTAATATTATCCTCCGCAGTTATACTATCAAGCTACCTAATGACACTTTAGTGAAGGCTTACCATAATGCCATGGTAATAGAATTCAGTAAGGTTGTAGTTGCTGTGCACAGTCATGATATACAGAATAGGTGCATCAGGAGAAAACAAAGATGTACGTTTTACATGAAAGGCTTTTTTGCCGATGGTCAAGTAGAAAAGACCAGCAGTGCGACGCTTATGCTGCCTTCTCCACGGTAATGGAGTAGAATCGAAAAAGGTCAGCCCCAAAAATAACACACCACCCTACCGCACAGGTTTTCGGTGCCGGCAGTACAGGTTCTGTCTATCCCACGTTAGAACGACCAAACCTGGATACAACAACCCACAAAAGGCGGCACGTAGCAAGCCTTAAGCAGATGTCCTATGGAATCAGCGGTCAAACAAATCGTTTTCTCTTTCAGATATCTAAAGAAGAAATACCCTTCCACGGGATGGGCAGCCGGGAACATAACCTATTCTTCTCAACTCTGTCTCCTCATTCGCCTTCACCTCCTGATACTTAAATTAAGCCTATTACGCCTTAATCATCCCCTCACTGTCCAATCATTGTCAGCGATTAGAGCCATTGAAACCTCATCCCTAGTCTACTAAGCCTCTGCCATAGACTTCCTGCAGGAGCTTTCAATATCCGAACTCTGTGGCATGCTATATGTACTGCTAATATGAAGCTCTCACTACACTATTAGGGATAACTGACTATATATATATATATATATATATATATATATATATATATATATATATATATATATATATATATATATATATATATATATATATAGCGGTATAACGTACTCTATTCAGCGTCCTTGCCAGGAACGGGGTTCCATTTCTACTGGCAAGGGACGGATAACGTCGCTGCAGGAAAGTGGCTTCATCTTGCAGTGCCTCATCTATACTTTTACCAGCCTTGATATCAGCTTGAGAACGATTGACAACACCGATTATGCCAAGCTTGACTGGAACAACACGTCCTAATAAAATGTCATGTGCATCTGTACCATGATCCATCAAATCCAACTTCGTCAAAATGCATAAAGTTCTCCGACCTAAATTGTCAATAAACAAAATTATGAAACTTTTAAAAGGTTACAACACGTGAAAGCACTTTATGTAGAGTGTATTAGTAGTAGACGAAAAATACAGTTCACAAACCGTCTTACACAGTTTTCAAGAAATATACCTTACTTATTATTGAAATATTTCTTGACTATAATCCTTTTTTATGATTTGGTTGGAAAGTGTAAGAATGAGTATGCCCCCCAGTTGTTATCAATGACTTTCGTTACGGAATAATTTTACGAAATAATGACAAGCAGCGCATTCTTCGATTTCCAACTCCCATTGGTAAATTCACCATCTCAACGTTAGGTTGTTGTGATTCAGTGATCACATTCGGCAAATAAAACATGACATGAGCTTTTGTGCCACTCATTCATAAGCAGAAAGTTCAAGGTTACGTGCCCAATTCGTAGTGATACGACGCCCACGGAACAATGACATAACTCATCACCTAGTCGTAACGCGGTGTCATAAAATTTTAATGCTTGCAGGAATAACCACCCAAAAGATCTGAATCGATCTGAATATGAAAGGACGTGTATGGCACATGCCGAATCGCTCTCAAAACCGACGTAATAAAATGATAACTTTAACATTAGGCCAGATGAAACTTCATGATCATTACGTTCACATAATTTGCTAACCCATGAAATTAACGGTGAAAGTTGAAACAATGCAGAAAACTGCAGCGTCCTTGGTAGACGAATGTGAAATATTACGCTATTAGCTGACGAGATTATGTAACAGATTGAAGAATAACTTTGAAGTAGATCAAAACAATCCTTCGTTGAATCTTGAACAATTTCTTTATTTCGTATGCACAACACTGACCTTTTTCACTTCATTATTGCTCAACTTGTTGATTTCCTATCATAGTGCTTGCTTTTCAGTGGCTTTCTACTGCTTTTGGTTACTTTCTCTTTTTATTTATTTGTCTTTTAACTAGGTGATTTTTCGCTTGATGTGTTGATATGAGATGCAGCAAGTTGGATCGCTACACAGTAATACCCAGTTCTCTGTTGATCATATCTAACGGTAATCTAAGTTAAACATGTATTGTGCCATGTTCAGCATTCTTTTAGTAAATCAAACACTTAATTTCTGTATGTAATAGCAATAATAATACTTTTTTACGCTCACGAAAATTTTACGGAGATGTGAAAAGAATATAATATAAATGATGAGGGGAATTTGTGAAAGGAATTGTCGTTTATTGGATGGGAGTTTTTGAGTTCATGTATCATCCACTATATGTAGTAAAGATTAATGCTACCCACATTTACAAAGTAAATGTTTATCTCTCAAAGAAGTTTGCATTCTTTAATGTATTAACTTAGCTGCTTAGTGGACTGAAATCACTTACAGATGGCATTTGATGCCTATCCAATTAACTCTTGTGTTCTTATTCTTATATAACTGCTTCATATAGTGTTTCGTTTTTTTTGTGGATCATTGTGTAGACCATCATGTACCAATCTGCTTCAATTGGCATGATAATTTTTGAATTACAAATGACTAGTCTACTGATTATTAAGTAGCTTAATTCCTATATTCGTTAACTTCATTAGTCCGCATCTGTAGATCGGTTACTGTGAGACCAATTAGTAAGACTTAGACATCAATGTACATCAACGTTTAGGACCACGCTTAAAAGGCATTTTCCCACTAGATCTGCTTCCCCTCCCCCCAGAATTTCGGGAGGCTATTTACTAGCTGAATAAATCACTTCATTATGAGATGACAAATTTGATCATATATTCATTAATATGGACTGGGCAATATCGGAAATAATCTTGTTTGGTAAACTGGTATTTATGCACAACATATTGATAACTTAAGTTGAGAGTGAAGGTAGATCACGAAAGAAATTACAAAAGCCGTACGACCCAGATTTTACTGCAACTTCAGTCAGCTTTATCTACTGCATTAATGACTGCACTTTTTATTATAATGGTATTTGAAATACAACTTAGTCCACCATTGTTTGCAGTGGTCGCTTCGTATTAACTAGAATGAGTTAGCATAACCTTTAATCCAAGTTATATCTACGACTGAAATAAAAAAAGTATTCGTCATTCTATTTTGAGATTACTGACTGAGCTTTCTGCCATTCGATGAAAGCTTTCATCTCCAACTGACACCTCATTTTGGTAACAATAGCTTCGAAAAGTAACCAACAGAGTTTTACAATCCATGAATAAAAACAGATGTCTTCACAAGAAGTAAAACGAACAAACAGAGGGAGCTTGATTCAGTCCAGTCGATTAAAAATATCGATTTCAAGTTGATATTCATCATAAACTGATATCAGCTGGATAAACATTGGGAACTTGGAAGCACTGGACAGCTGTTTCGTCCAAGTACGGGACTCCTCAGCAGTGCGCACCCTGACCCCGCCCCACCAGGGATTGAACATAGAACCTTCAGGTTCGCGACCAGCACGTAACCATTGAGCCACTGGGTTGGAATCCAGTGATCCATATTTCCTGCTTTTGTCAGTTCACAACATAGCGTAACCTCCCTCCAATGCTACTGCTGAGTACCTGTCCTCATGTTCGACTTGGTTGGCCACAGCGGTCATCACTTCTTATTGGAAATTTAGGAATAACCTCTCGAAGCTAGTCACCAATGAGCACTAGATTAATTCAATTTTGAAATCAATAAATGAATAACCCACAAACCTCATTCAACCACCAAGAAACTGATTCATTGTCAAGGATTCTAACCCATGTGCTTCAAATTTCCACATTCTTCAACTGAATCAGCACTTAACACGTGAATACTATATTTGTTGGCAACTGGTGACCAATTCTCAAACTAACTGCAATACTGGCGCCCATCTAAAAGACAAGGTGAAACTCACATCAAAGATAAACCACTAACTGATACCACTGACCTTTCATCAGTCAGCAATCGACAGATATATAGACATAAACCCAATCTATCAACCAATAAGAAAAGTAATAAACAACAGAAAGGTCAGAGGTCAAGCAGAGGAACAGCCAACAGGAAAGTCTATACAGTCAATGACACAACAATCGAAGGAAACAACCAATTACAGACCACATCGTCAGAGCAAGCCACTAAATCACTCACCGAGAGATATTGATAACTCACTTCATACTGAAGTTAGTGTTGATGTCGTCTAGAAAGACGACGAAAGCTTCACGATTAAACAACCCAGCTCAGAGAACACAATACAACCAAGACCATCCACCTGAGCTACAAATATTCTTCAATACAACCAAAATAAGCTTACCATCAGGATCAACTGTTTTGGCTAATTTAAGACCTTCGCTAGTAGCCATATCTGCATTGGCCGGTGTAACTGCCAAAATCACACTGTTCGGATTATGTATATAAGGCAGACATAAATCATTTATCAAAGATTCAATATCCTCCGGTTGGTCAGCAACAGGAACTTTAGTAATGCCTGGAAGATCGACCAAAGTGAGGTTTAGCACACGTGGGCTAAATATTTTCAAGTTGATAGGTTCTGCACTAACAGACTAAAAAGAAAAAAATATGGTGAAAAATGAAATTTATTTCGAGCGGAAAAACCGACTGAGCTTTTTTAGGATAGAAATATGATGGGTAAAATCTGTGCAGCAGCATTTTATAGATGAGGATTAGGTTTTTTTGTGATTCCATGGATTAAACTAAACAACAGAGGGTAAATGTAATTAAAATGAGGTCACTAAAAGTGACATGGCTTGCATTATTATTATTATTTGTCCCTTGGATTCCTAGTAGAACATAGGGCTTCAGTAGCACGTCGCCATTTCACTCTCTTCTCTGCAGTCTTCAAAACCTGGCTCCACCACTGCCCACAAGCTTTTGTTTCTTCCATACACCATCTCCTCCATGTCACCCTCGCCTCAAACGCCCAACTCGTTGTTTCCCCTTTGGATTCCACTCGACGACCTGGTGCGTGATGTCCCCGAACGGTCTTCTCAGTGTATGCGCAATCCATCTCCAACTTCTTCTACTACACATTTGTTGGGTGATAGGTTGTTGGTTGGCTCATTGCCAGGCCAGAACGTGTTCCTTGTTGCTTATTTTTTCTGGCCATCAGATCTTCAGTATCGAACCAGCGTAGGCGTGATCTGTTGATAAGTGTCTGTAGTTTGTTGGAAGTGCTTTTCGTAACGCGCCACCAAGTCTCTCAGCTATCACATAGAAGCACTTACTTGACGTTGGTGTCGAAAAACCGGATCTTGTTCACGCTTTATGCTGAGTGCAGTAAATCCCCACACTGATTTCAGGTTACTGAATGCCTGTCTTGCTTTTCCGGTCATTGCTTTGACGTTCTCATCTGTGCCGCCTGTAGTTGAAACAATGCTGCCTTGCCTAGGTAGGTAGGTGAAAGAGACTACTTCCTTTAGGTTTCTCCCGTTTATAGGTGGGTGTCTTCATCACTTCTGTCTTCCTAACGTTCACCTGAAGTCCCGTCTTCGCTGCCCTGCATCTTCTGTCAACTTGTTGGTTTTTGCCTGTAGATCTTTGAGTTTGTACGACAAGACATTAGACTTAGATCATCGGCGGTGAAATCCAAATCTTCTTCCGAGGTGTTTTTATCAGACCAGCCAGCGTATGCCCCTCTTCTTGCTCCTCACAGTTTCTTGCATGATCCAGTCCACCACAATCAGAAGATCATCGGTGATGGTAAGCGGAGGCCTTGTCTTACTCCTGTCTTCACTTCAAAGGCGTCACTAAGCTTCCCATTGTGATTCACTTCGCGTGTGGTGTCTTCATATAGCTGATGAATGAGGTTGATAAAGGTTAGTGGCACTAAAACCGTAGTGTTGAAGCAGTTGCCAGCCAAATTACTTCTCAGTCGACGTTGTCGAAGGCTGTTCCAAAGTTGATGAAGTTGAGGTGAGGTAGAGAGTTCACTCCCATTCTGTACTCTGTTCTATGATGATGCATAGCGTATCGCTGCAATTCGATCCACACATGATTTGTTCTTCCTGAAGCCAGCCAGCCAGCCAGCCAGCCAGCCAGCCAGCCAGCCAGCCAGCCAGCCAGCCAGCCAGCCAGCCAGCCAGCCAGCCAGCCAGCCAGCCAGCCAGCCAGCCAGCCAGCCAGCCAGCCAGCCAGCCAGCCAGCCAGCCAGCCAGCCAGCCAGCCAGCCAGCCAGCCTGTTCCGGTCGTAATTGTGAATCCAGCACATTGCTTAGTCTCTCCAGGATGATGCGGCTTAATATTTTACTTGGGGTGGACAGGAGCATGATTCCGCGCCAGTTCTTGTTCTTGCAGAGACTTAGGTCTCCCTTCTTTTGAGAGTTTGACAAGCTAGCCCTTCTTTCAATCGATCGTCACGTATTTTTCCTTCCTTCCTTCCTTGCGAACCTTGTGTAGTAGTGGTGTGAGCCTGTCCGCTGCAGTTGTCTCTGCGTCTGTATTCAGTGGGTCTGATGGAATTCCATCTGGTCCTGCTGCTTTCATAGATTTCAGCAACTTCATGGTGTTCAGGATTTCACTTCTGCTTTTGTCAGAGGGTTTTTGTTCACTGGTAATTCTGTGGCTGGGTTGCTGGTGGTATTTCTGGATGAGCTGCAGGTTTTTGTTGTTGTTGTTGTGGTGGTGGTGGTCGATTCAAGAGTTTTTTGAAGTGGTCAGCCCATTGTTTCCCTTGTTTCTCCTCTTTGGTAAGTAGGTTCCCTTCACTATCTTTCATTGATCTCTTCTGCGTTGATCTCTTCCCTTCCAGATAGTATTTTGACTATTTGATATAGTGTTGTCAGGTCTCTCCTACCTGCAGTCTGTTCTGCTTCAGTTGCCAATGTGTCGTAGAAGTTTGTCTTTCCGCGCACTCTTCTTCCTTCATTGTCCAGTGTTTTATAGGTTGTACTCAGTTCCTCCTTTACTTGTTCATCCCTGCACTGCACTGCACTGCACTGATTTATCTTCTGCATCACCATCTTCCTCTCCCTTCTCTATCAGCTTCCATGTGTCCATCGAGATCCATTCCTTGTCTTGTCTTGTCGTGTCTTGCCTTGTTTCTTCTTCTCTCCTAACACGGTTATGTAGGTTTCTTTCCACATAGCTTCCAAAGAGTTCCAGTATTCTTCCATGCAGGTTTCCTCGGGGATGGGCATGTTGCCTAATGTCTCCCATTCTGTCCTGATGGCTGACTGAAGTGAAGATGTTCCTTGTAGTTTCGTCCTTCAGTCTCTGTTATTCGTGTTGAACTTGAACTCTAACTGTGGTCTCTAATCACCAACTTCTGTGAAGGCTTTCAACTTGATTTTGAAGTTAGGTTCGTTGCACTAGATAGTGAGTGGTGTGAACCTACATCTGCTCCCCCCCCCCTTTTTTGATCTGATCTTGTGTCTAGTAGGCTGACTGAGTCTCCATCTCCTCTTTCTTCAGGTTGAGATGAGGTCAATCTGATTCTTAGTGTAGTCTGTTCATCTGGTGAAATCAGATCTATGTTGATTTGTGACTATCCTTGTGGATGTACCCAGTGCCTCCAATCACCAAGTCGTTGAATGCGCAGAAATCTGTAAACAGTTCTCCATTCTCATTCCTCATTTCACCGAGTGCTTCTCGACCCATGATTGGTTGTCTTCCTGTGTTGTCTGCTCCCACTTTGGCATTCATATCACCCCACGCATTAAAATTTTGATGTCGCCATCTGGGGTGGGGTCTTGTCCAGTGGTGATTGCAGTTGTCTGTAGAATTCCTCCTTCTTCTCTTTATCTGTGTTGTTTGTAGGTGCATAGCATAGCATTGTATGATTGTGACTTTCCTTCCTTTTCAGTTGAATCTTGCTGTCATGATCCTAATGGTTGAGGAGATTGGTTCCCACTGCATGAGAACCTTTGATGTTCTTTGGAGGGGGACATCATGATAGCCTCTCGAGAACTGAGTGTGTTTGTGGTTGTCGTGTCGTTTGGGTGACAAAATCGGAGTAGTTTATTGACTCTGGAGTTGACAGTTTGGAGAGTCCACTTCCTTCCTCTCTTTTTTCGCAGATTGCAATGACTTCTCTGCCATACCGTCTCATCTCTTTTGCAATGTGGGCAGTCTCACTAGGTTGATGCATGGGCGAACTAGTTAACGAGGCGAGGCTTGAAAATGTCAAGTAAAATAATGATAATGATAATACCTATTCTGGGGTTGTGTGTAGCAGAGATATGAGGATATATTTCGACGATGAGTCAATGATGAGTCCCACTTCTTTCTTTTTGCAAATGTAATTAAACCACATGACGTTCATTTCTAAGCTGTCTTTCAACGATAAGAATGGAGCGTTAAATTTTTTGTGGTGAATTTTTAAGGTGAAATTACACACCAAGTTCGAAGTGAGCAGATAATAATCGATGTTTTGAGGAACTAACTATACGAAATAAGAATTTAATCATGGATTCTCATTACATCTTTTGGATCCCAATCAGAAATTCTTTGTTTGCTTACACGGCCTATAGCAAGATAAGGTGATATCATGGGTAAATATATTATATTAATTAGACCACATAGTTGATCAAATAGCCAGACTAAACGAAGTAAACCATTTCAAAATATGAATGAAGAGCAAGTATTTCATCGAAGAGTCTTTTTTCAGCGGTTTCACATTCCTCAAAGCTGTACAATCGCAAATTTATACATTTTTCTTGTGTTAAGGTTTGATAGTTAAAAGTGATATGTCAAACATAGCATGAGCTGTCATTAAAACCAAAAATTGTGACAAATAGTGAAGATTAATCGGAATACGACTGGAATTGTATGGAGATTAATAAGTTTGAATAAGAAGTGAGGCATCACAGTGAATAGTGATCGAAACTAGCTGTTACTGTTATCAACACTGTGTCCCCTAAATTCTCCGTGGCTTTTTACCCTGCGACCGCTGTATATGATTCGAGTTAGCAATACACCATTTCTAGTCTCTTACAACCACGCTGCCGATTGCATATTGCTGCGCTCCCAACGTCCGAACCCTATTTCACGCTGGACAACAGACCTTACTTGCCTAAACTTTGAAATATAGAAGGACGCTGTCTCTGAAACGTACAAACAGGAATATATATGTAGAGTTCACTGTAATAGTATCCAGAGATTCGATAGTTTTTCCCCATGGACTTTCTGTCGTAGTTAATGCATTGGTTCTGCAGCAGCAAGTGTATTGCATACAACTCACTAATCATCGGTGTAGATTCTGAGTGAATGGACTTAGAAAAACTAGAAACGATGTGGATACTTACCGACGCCCGCTTTTAGTTTCCACTCACGTGCCCACCAACTGCAATTCGTACGATGGGAAGTATAAATTTTATCAAAAGCCGTCAATTTTTTCAAGTAAAGCAAAACGCTCGGTCACAATGCCAGTAAAGGGCGGTTTCAACACTTTTGTAGGTAGGTAGGTGATATTGCTATAAGACATCGGTGGAGAGGATCAGTGCAAGAATACCGTTCTTTTTAGAGTACCCGGTTGGACTTCGATCACGTGTTAGTAAGCAAACATGATCGTATAGGATGTGAAGTGTGGGAACTTGAAATTTTACCC